ATTTTATTTATTCTTCTTTTTATGCCCACTTTTATGTTATTATTCTTTTATTGGTTTATTTTTGTAATTTGGCGCCCTCACCGCTCTGTACATTAGTACATTTAAAGAAATGAAACATTAAAATGCACTTAGAACGACGTTACGAGCTCACGTCACAATAAAAAAACAGAAAAACCTAGAAGGAGTAAAAGACGGGTACCTGAATAAATCACATTAGAAACCGTTTAGATTGCACTAAAAAATAAATGAATCAATACTAAAAACCAGCACTGCAGTGCCTCAGCAGACATAAAACACCACAGGCACATTTATCGCACCATGAGAACCGCTTGTTTAGTGTCCTGAGAGTTTAGAAGTCTGACGGCAGAGGAGTCAAAACCGTTACAGAACCTTGTAGTTTGGACTTCAGGCTGCGGTACCGCTCGCCTGGAGGCAGAAGAGAAAACTAACAGGGGTGTGACTGTCCTGTAAAGTCCTTTCTGCCCTGGACGGGCAGCGCTGTTGGGCCGAGCCCTCAACAGGTGGCAGCGTGACCCCAGTGATCCGCTCAGCTGCCCTCAGACGGTGCTGCTGGGATGCCTTGATGGTGAGCACGCTTCCCATGGTGCCTCTGCAGGAGGTGGTGAGGACTGATGGGCCTTTTTCAGGGAGTGCAGCCGCCGGTGAGCCTTTATGAAGGTGTTCAGGGACCAGCTCAGGCTGACGGACACATGCACCACCAAGAGCTTCAAATGCTGCACGATCTCCACAGCTGGTACTGATGCAGGCCCATGTCTCCTGAAACCAATCAGCAGTTCTTTGGTTTTTTTTAAATTGTCATTCTTGCACCACCCTGTAAAGGCCTCCCCTCCTCTCTGTAGTCCTGGATCTGACCCACCGCTGGTGTGTCGTCAGCATATCTGATGATGTGATTGCTGCTGAACTTTGCACAGCAGTCGTGGGTCATCAGGTGTAGAGGAGGAGGCTGAGGACGCAGCCCTGTGGAGAACCAGAACTCAGTGAGACGGTGTTCGGTCTGTTACGTCTGCCCAGCACAGACTGAGGTCTGTCCACGACAAAGTCCAGCATCCAGGTGGGTGTTGGGACCGAGTGGGTCCAGTGTGGTGATGAGGTGCTGGGGGGTGATGGCGTTAAAGGATGAAATCAGCAAAGAGAAGCCAGACGTTTTCTTCTCCAGGTGTTCCAACGAAATAAAGACATTTTACAGATTTTCCCTCTTTTGTTAAATGTTAACTTGTGAAATCATAGAAAAAAAAAAAATTGTAATATCTTGTTTGTTTACAGTCAAAATCTAAATGAATACTTTTCCCTGTGATTTTACTGGATATCATCCATAGCTACACAAAACAGACAAAATCTGTAAAATACTAAGATTATATCATTGCAATTTTAAGTAAAATCTTACTTTTAAATTCCTAATCTGAAGAGTAGTTTGAAGATAAAACTGTCAAACATTGAGGTAAACAGCATCAAGAAATACTCAAAGTCCCAGTTAAAGACTGTACTCGAGTAAATGTAACTCGTGACTCCGC